CTGATTTTTTGATTTATTGTAGGGATGAGGTCTCGCTGCCCAGGCGGGTCTTGAACCCACAGGCTCAGGCATTCCACTCACCTCAGCGTCCCAAAGACGCGGGATTACAGGCTGAGCCACCGAGCCCGGCGTCTATTGCTTTTAAGAGGAAAGAATATCTACATTGCAGGGTCAGTTAGAATTCAATAAGTGGCTGAGAGCCTTTTGTATAGCAGATAATGATAGTGAGTAATTATGACTTGTTATTGATTGTCAGGTTATTTGAAGGATTTATATGTTTAGTTCTGGGGACTCAGCAGAGACCCAAATGGCTTCAGGCCTTGTTCTCATGGAGCTCCCCGCCTAGTGGGGGAGATGGACTGAACCTAATACCAGAAACTGATCCCAAGTGGTCAGCGTTGGGATATGGAGCCTAGGGAGGACGGCACCTGTCAGCCGATAATAGGTGAAGCAAGTGTCCAGACAGAGGCACTGATCAGTGACCTAGAACTGGGAGGGGGAGAGCATGGCATAGGTTGTAGGGTACTTGTCATTACTCTGGAAGTCAGTGTTAGTCTCAAAGGGAAGAATATAGTCCAGGTGAGGAATGCAGAAAAGGTATCCCAGCAGCCCAGGAGTGACTTTCTGCTGTTTGAAACAGCCTTGGTAGCTGCAGTAGCATGCTGCTTCAGTGTTCAGGATTCTAAGAACCCATCTAGAGATGGGGAATCTGAGGTCCAGCGAGGGATGCATGGGAGGAGACCAGATCATGTTGCCTTTACCTTATTACCTTGTTTCTTGCCATTTCAAGTCTCTTGTGTAACTTCTTGACTCCTTCTCTGACTCTGTAGAAGGTTCTGGGGGTGACAGCCTGACCCCTTTCCACTAGTACTTTGACACTGGTGGTGGCAGAATCCACACAAATAAGGAGAAATGCCCAGTGAGATGCTAAGCTTCCCAGCTGTGACTTAACACCCTGTTCATCGCCCCTGTTGTTTTAGCTACTGGAACCAGTTCTGCCTCTGGGCAAGGAGCGGTTTGCTGGCGTGGATATCCGTGTCCGGGTGAAGGGTGGTGGTCCCGTGGCCCAGATTTATGGTGAGTCCCAGGAATTGGTCCACATGGGTGGGAGGTGGCTCTGGGAGCAAGGCCCTGATTTTGGGTCTTCACAAAGCTCACGGGCCCTTTTCTTGTGTGTGTGCCTCACAGCTATCCGTCAGTCCGTCTCCAAAGCCCTTGTGGCCTATTACCAGAAATGAGAGATAGAATGGGTTCTTCCTATCAGGTGGGTGGATGCGTGCAGACCAAGTCAAGACTCTTCTGAGATTATCTAAATCTTCACCCCTCTTGTTATCTTTAGATATGGATGAGGCTTTCAAGAAGGTGATCAAAGACATCCTTATTCAGTACGACCAGACATTGCTGGTAACTGACCCCCCAACACCTCGAATCTAAAAAGTTGGAAGTTCTGGTGCCTGTGATCCCTACCGGAAATCACAAGGAACAAGGTTTATCTAATATAATAAACATTGTGAGATTTTAAGGTTTCAAGAAGTGTGTTGTTGACTTCTGTGGTAGTGGGTTTTTGTGACTAAGTGGAATGTAGGAAGCACTCCCAGCCTATTGCCAGTCTGGATTTTAAACCTTTCCAAAAAGTGATTATGCTGGGGTTAGTGTGGATGGGTGCAGACGGCAGGTGGGAGGTCTCTGTCTCTATCTCCTGCAGAGTCTGGACATTTGGTGAATGTGGAGGTCGTCCTTGCGGGTTTGTCTGCTTTTTCAATCCCATTGCTGCAATTTTAATGGAACCCAGCTGGTCAAGGCTGTGGTGGCCAGGAGCATACCACTGCATTTCAGCCTGAGCGACAGAGTGAGACTGCGACTCAAAAAAAAAAAAAATTTTCCCATTTTAGGCTGAGTGCAGTGGCTCACACCTATAATCCCAGCACTTCAGGAAGCTGAGATGGGAGGATCCCTTGAGCCCAGGAGTTTGAGAACAACCTGGGTAACATAGAGACTTCATCTCTACAAAAAATAAATAAGCTGTGTGTGGTGGTGGACACCTGTAGTCCCAGCTACTCTGTTGGCTGAGGTGACAAGATCACCTGAGCCCAGAAGGTCAAGACTGCAGTGAGCCATGATTGTGCCGCTGCACTCCAGTCTTGGTGATGGAGTGAGATGGTGATTAAAAAAGAAGTCTTAGCCGGGCTCGGTGGGTCAGCCTGTAATCCCGTGCCTTGGGAGGCTGAGGTGAGTGAATTGCCTGAGGCTGCAGGTTCGAGACCTGCCTGGGCAACTTGGCGAGACCTCAT